TATTTATTTTTTTTCTCTTGATTACAATTAATTGAAGCAAATTGGAAATTAATTGTTGAGTAAAACTGATTAAGGTCTCGATCAGGTTGTTAACATAGTTTTTCCTACCTGTTTAATTGTGAGTTAACTTAATTATTTAATTTGATTGTTGTTTAAGGTCAATGAGAATCGTTAATTTGAAAGTGATCTTAATTTTGATTACTTGTTGTTGTTGATACTTCATGCTGTTAATTGTTATTATCATTATCATGATAATTATAATTTATTGAAAATGAAATCAGGTTCAACAATCAGGTAACTGCTCTAATTAACATTGAAATGAAATTGAACACATACATTAAGCCGTTTTAATGATTAACTAGAATCAAATTTAATTCATTATTTTTCAAGTATCAACAATGTTAATCAATGTTGTAACGTTTCACATTCTCTACTTAAATTAATTGTTGTTTTAATTGTTGAATTAAAGTCTCACAATAATGAAGAGATGATAATGAAGTGAGTGAGAAAAACGGAAAACAAGAAAATCCCGGAAGCGAAAAAGAGAAAGAGTTTTTTTTCTTATTTCTCTTTCATCTTCATTTTTCAGAAGAAAAGGAAGATAAAGGTAAAGGTTGGACTCGCCTTCGAATGATAATCATTATCATGATCATTAGCTTGTTCGAAAAGTGTTCATCACTTTCTCTCGAATTTCAAAAGTAAACTTGAAGAATACGAAGAAAGAAAAAGTTGTAACTCTTTTTTTCCAGGTGAACAATGAATTCGAATCAATAGTTAATCTAATAGCTAATAAGTATCATCATCTCGATGACAATGATATTTAATTATATTCAAAGTCTCTCTCTCTCTCTCGCTCTTTCTCTTTCTCTCTCTCTCTATCATCTTTTATCATCCTCAGCATCCTTAGCATCATAATAATCATTATCATTTCCTGTTAGTATTTTAAACAAAAAGGAAAAATATTTTCTTGCTTTTTTTGTACATCGAGTTTATTATTATTCAATCATCATTTTCATAAGTTCCGGTCATCGTCATCATCAGATGCTCTGAAAGAAAGAGAATGTATTTTTCTCTTTCCTCCTTTCATCTTCTTCATCTTTTTCCCTTTTAGCCGAAAAATTTTCAAACCCAAACACTTTACTAATAAATATCATATATAAATCACAACATTTCTCACCGTCATTCAAGATCACGGTTACTCTCTTTCTCTATCACTCTTTTCATCATCAGCTCGTTTTCTCTTCCTTTCTCTCTCTCTCTCTCTCTCTTTCTCTCTCTCTCTCTCTCTCTCTTTCTATTTCTCTTCATCATCTTTACGTCAGTCTTCCTGTTTATCTGCTGAGGCCAGTTTTGCAACATTCTTGTTTATAAGCTAAGAAGATGATGAAAATGAAAGAAAAGACTCTCTCCCACTTATTTACTTCTTTCTTCCTCTTTCTCATCATCATCATCATCATCATTTCTCTCTCTCTCCTCCTTTCAAACAAATAGATCCTAGAACTTCTTACCTGCTGACAAAACCCTTGTTATTATATTTTCTCTCTACCTTTTTCTCTCCTGATCAACATTTTCATCATCATCTTGTTTCTTGTTTTTTTTTACTTTGCTTTTCATCTCAAGATTTCCGGTAACAACTAACGGCTCTCTCACTCATCATCTTCTTCTGCTGATCTCTTTTTTATTATTCAAAAAAACGAGTTTTTCTTTTAGAGGTCATCGAACTTGCAGAAAACCATTTTCCTTTCTTTCCTTTCTTTTTCCCCTTTAGCCAGTTTTCTCTTCATCATCTCTGTCTATCTTCATCATCATCATCATCTTCTTCCCTGTTTCTTTTCTGCTAATTCGCATCTGCTCAATGCTTTTATATATACTTTGCATTTTCATACTTATACACACAGTATTTCTCATAGTTATTCTCTCTCTCTCTCTCTCTCTCTCTCATCATCATCTTTAGCTTTTACTCGAACCAGGCAATATAAGACTCTCTCTCTCTTTTTCTCTCTTCCTCCTTCTCCTCCTCCTCTCCCACTCTCTTTTTCTCCTAGCCTGTCTGTCTCCTCCAAGTTGTTTCTCACCCTTCTTCTCCTTCGCTTGCTCTCTCTTCTTCTCTCCCTCGAGTTCTAGAACATCGCTCACGGGCTTTTCTACTTCTTTATTATCACTATTATATTATCATCATCATCATTGTTATCCCGTTTTTACAGTAAAACCTCAAAAAACTTTTAAGTTTCTTTGAAATATTTTCTTTTTCCTTCTTTTCTTCTGTCAATTATTTTCACTCTCCCTTATTCTTATCCTCCTCCCTCCCTCTCTCACTATAACCTTATCTCTCTCTCTCTCTCTCTCTCTCTCTCTCTCTCTCTCTCTCTCTCTCTCTCTCTCTCTCTCTCTCTGTCGATATTTTATCCCTCCCGTCATCTCCATCATAATAATCATCTCGAACTATTAACAATCTTGAAACTTTACCTTTACCTTTATCAAAATCTCTACACTCTTTCTTTTTTCTCCAAAATAATAATTGATACCAAAGAATCACCATTGGTTATCCAACGATTATGTGATAATAAAGATGAGAGATTTACCTGGATAAACCTTGTAGAAATACATTGTTATCATTATTACATCAACAATTCAAATCGTTTATCTCTTTTCCCCAATTGCTACTTCACTTTTCTTATTGGCCACTTTTTCCTCCTTCAAGAATAATAATACCTCCGAGAGTCTATGGAGAAATAGTCTTTTCAATTGATCGAATTGAACAATAATATCAATTGATTGAATTTCTTTAACCAACAAGCTAATACAATCACTTTTAACTGTAAATATTTTTTTTTATCGTAAATTGTATTATATTCACATAGAGATTTTAATCATTTCAGCTTCGATTACTCTTTTATTGGTCATTTCATTAATTGTTGGAATTGATTGTCAAAAATTTACAGTTACTTTTGTGTTCATCTTTTTGGGTAATCAGAAAATCTGATTGCTTAACAATTAACTAATTGCTTGTTTTCTGCAACATTTATTCATATGTGTGTACATGTATTTGTTTTCTCGTGTTGTTGGTAAGGCTAATTAAGTTAATTGTTGATCTGGATAATGGTTGTAAATTGGATTGATTATAATAATGATTAACCAAACTTTCGGGTTTTCTTGAAAAAATAATATATAAAGATCTTAATCATTTTTACCTTTGCTAAATTAACTTTTTCTTATTAACTGTTCATTGAACTTTAAGTTTTTAACTTCACAATTAAACTAAATGATTTACTAACAAGCTAAAAGTTATGTGAAAATTTGATAATTATTATTATACAATTAAAATTGTGCAACAATTAATCATACAAATTGTATTAAATTGATTGTATCATTTACAATGATTAAGGACGAGAAATTTATAATTATTATTGTAATAGATTAATATGATTACAAGTGATTTAAATTTCTTAAATTATTACAATTAAGTTTGAAATATTATATTAAACATATATAAATATAAATATACAATTACAATTGATTATTATTGTTATTATTTAAATGATGATAATAATGTCCAAAGATTTTACTATCGTAACAATCATATCAAATTGTTAATCATAATGGTAACACAACAATTTACATTTCAATTGTATTCATTATCAAATATTGTAGTGCAACAATTAACTATAACAATTGAACGAGAATCTATTTAAATGAGCATTTCCGCACTTCTCTCATATTTAATATATTACAATGTCAATAATCTGATATTGATTTACACCCAACAACCAGTTTAATTGTTAACCATACAATCCCGATCGCTACTACAACAACAATCAAGAGAAACTTTTTCAATTGAAATGATATCGATTAATATTTATCGAAATGTTTCATCAGATCACTTGAGAATACAAACTAATCGAAAAAAAAAGAAAGAAAAAACTTTTCGAAAGTTAGAAAAGTTTTTCGATAAGTTTTTCTTTCTCTTTCTTGATGATTACTTTAATCACTCAAGATCAAACATAATCATTATCACTTTTAATCATGATCAAGTTTGCTTGAGGTCAACAACGCGATGAAAAAACAAAGTGTTTAATTGTTAACACGTTAGTTAATTGTTAACTCTTTTTCTTTCCTACAAACGATAATAAAAAAGTCAATAGGCTTTCATATTATATTTTCCATTAGTTTTCTCATTGCTTCCTCTTTTTCTTATTATTTACTTTTCTTTTTGATGATAAATTATTATAATTTATTATTCTCTTCACGTTATAACATTAACCTTTACGATAAACTCTTCTTCTCGGTCCGTTAATTAGTTATCATAATCATCATTTCAAAGGTGTGTTAATTACTCTCAACTACACATATAACATATCCTGTAATACAAGTTACAATTAACATGTACACATTATCATTTATATTGTTAGGTATATCTTTTTTTTTCAGCAATTTAAAACTATTTTCATGATTAACTTTACAAAACTTTCATGATAATAAATAAGAAACCAGAAAATGAAACCAGTTTCCCTTTAATTGCCTGATGGGTTGTTAATTGTTTACATAGATGGCGCCAGTTCTATGGACATTGTTTTCTTGATTGTTGTTTAATTGTTTGTATTATTAGTTGATTTAACTTTCTCAATTGATTTTGTATTCAACAATTTAATTAGCTTTCCAATAGTTTAGTGGTTAAGGTTTCATTGTAGTTGCTTTTGTTAACCGTTAAACTTTTAGATACTTTTAAGTTTCTTCACCTTGATTGGGAATATTAATCAACTTTAATTGTTATGAACATTTAAATTGTTATTTGAATCGCAAAATGATTCTAATTGTTTAATCTAAGGTATTTGTGATTATTTAATTGTAATCAATAAGTATGATGGTTATGATGATAATAATAATGATGATGCATTGATTGACTTTGATTTGATGGAATAAATTTTTCGATTATTTGATTTTGATTTTTTTCTTTTGATTAATTGATTGTAATTAACATATTGTTCTGTTATTTTCTTTAGCTCAAAACAATTGCTTCGAAGCAGCTGATTCAAATTCTGGAAATACTCCATCAAAGTCATTCGTTCAATGTAAAGTTTGTGGAGACAAAGCCTCAGGGTATCACTATGGAGTTACCTCTTGTGAAGGATGCAAGGTAAGTTAATTGTGATTAGTTTTGTTACTGTGATCAACAAACCACTAATTTAAATCAATTCATATTGAGTACAAAATGACAATTTAAACGATAACAATGTATTACTTTTCCTTACCAATCAATTAAGTTGATTTAGTTATCAAATTATACCAACTATAACTAATAACCTACAGAAATCATGGTGAGAAATGTAATTTAAATTAATTTTTATTTACATTTTCTTGATTGTTGAAAATTAAATTATCAATTTGCCTTTCATTACAGTTAATTGTTGGCTAATTATGTTTAATTTTACCTATTACTCTCAACAGTAAATGAATTTAGTTAATCATGATAATTGTATGTTATTTTGTTGTATAATCTCAATTAGTTAATTAATAGAGCAAAAAAAAAACTTTGAAATTACTACAATTTAGTTTTCTAGTGAAAACAATTAACTTTCAATGTAACAATTAAAATGCAATAGTTTTAAAATTTACCAACAGAGGGAAACTTAATATACATTGGAAACAATTAACAGTTAGCAAATTTATTAATTAACTAATTTAGTTGAAATTAATGATTTCTTGTAACAATTAACAAGAGCAAAAAAAAACTTTGAAATTGAATCACAATTAATAATAGTTGAGTTAATATTTCTTTAGATCTAATTGTGTGAAATTAATTGTAAACCATTAGTTGATTAGTTTAACAGTAAATTGCTGGTTAATTGTAACCTCGAACGGGTTCATTGATCTGAGTAAATTAACTAATTTAAAAAAAAAAGATGCTGAGTTTATACATTGAAGTTAATTTGTTTTCCTTAATCATGTCTAGTTTTTGTGAAATTAACTAAATTAATGATTTATCTTACAACACTAACGTTAATAAATCATACATAATCAACTAATCATGTTCAATTGTAATGATTAAAAGTAACAATGATAATAATAACAGTAAGATCAACAAAAAAAAATGAATTAAACGGAACCTTAAATTATTGAGAAAACAATTAAATTAAATTTGTTGATCTTTAACCTTCAATGCCTTTGACCTTTCATTTTGATTGTTAATTATTACGATAATAATCATAACAATTTGATGATAATTACATAATTAGATAGAGAGAGACAGTTGCTGATTGTTGTTAATTGTTTTGCACAATTAAAACGCCATTGATCTACTTTCACTTTTTTTCGTTGATCATAATTAACTACCAACAATTTACTAATCTCTTTTTTTTTCTCCTTCCAGTATATTAGTTAATCTGTTTCGTTAATCTCACAATGATTTGATAGGAAAAGTGTTCGAAATTAATTATCATGATTAACTTTCGTTTTTTTTCCTCTTCTTTTATTATTGTTGCTTCTGATTGTTGATTGTTGATTGTTGATGATTTTGTGCTCCTGTTGTTGTGTAATGACCTCGATCTGTTGGTTGAATTTCAAGTTTTCGAACAAGAAAATTATCTCTTTTCTGATTCTCCTTTTTTTCTCAACAATTTAAAAGTTAATTTGTTTCCGGATTTCAGATTCTAAGATTCAGGTTAAACATAATCACTTTCAATTAGTTGATTAGTTGGGTAGTTTTATCCATTATATTCAATAGATTAACAATCTCACCTTCTTGATGAAAAACTTTTTTTTTTCTTCATCATTAATTTGGTAACTGCAACTTTCTCAATAAAACTTGTTGATTACTTTTGTTTTATATACACTTTACCTGTTTATTTCTCTCTCATTATAACTTCATCATTGAAACAATTAACAATTTAATACAAGTTGAATAAGTAAACAAATCAAACAATTTATTTCATTTTTTCTCATTCACTTTTCGTTAATAAGGTTGAGCTTGATCTTCGACTGTGTGATGATTAAGTTGCTCTTGATGATGATGATGATTACGATGAAAGATTGGATCGCCTTTAGGTTTCCTGGTTTCGTTTGTGTTGATTGTTAAACTTGATTAACGTTAATGATAATGATCAAGAGAAAGTTCGAAGGTAACTGTTTAAAAACACCGTTCGATCGATTAAGGTTAATCCAGGGTCATGGAAACAATTTGATTACAATTTAATCATCATCATCATTTCTCTTTCTTTTTCTTTACCGTTAGTTGTTGTTGATTTTTCTGATTAACCTGACATTGAGTTTCTGACTGACGTTTCATCATCATCATGAATGTGATAAACATTATTAAGCATCATGATGAGAATGACAAAATAAAAAGACCCTTAAGATAACCTTTAAATTAGATAACAATTAAGAAGCAAATGATGAGACAGCTGATTATGATGATGATGCTAATTGTAACCATGATAATGAATTTACACTCTGATTATAAATCAAGATAAATTAATCATCCTGGATAATCCCATAGATATTTTCGTTGGCGTGAAAAATATTAAGAATAACAAAATGTAACTCATTAACTAATCGTTTCGTACTTTCAAGTTTAATTGCTCTGGTGGTTGATGGTATATATAAATAGACGATGATGACTTTGAGACCATTGTTACAAATTAATTGGTTCCATTGAATAAATCTTCATCATCATCATCATCACAATTTCAATATCACCATGAAATGCGCATGATATTTTCCCTTGGTATCTTTATTACATTGTTACCTCGTCAGTTCATTCAACCAGTTCCATTGGCAATTAACTCTCTTTTTTTGCTCCTTTCGATTTTATCATCTTTATCTTCATCATCTTCAACATCTCCTTCAACTTGTTCATCCCTCTCTCTCTCTCTCGTTTTCTCTCTCATGTAATAGTTACTGTAGAATCCAAAGAAACATTTCTCTCTGTATTAAATACAATCCACTCTCATTCTGTGATTGTTGTTGATTCTCAACTCCTCATACCCACATTAATACCCATTTTTTTACAAACTATTTTTCTCATATAAACATTGTTTGTACTCACGTTGATTTTTTTGTACTACTTAGTGGTGTGTTTTTTAGTGGTCATCTAATTTTTTTTTATCATATATAATCCAAGGACATCAGAAAATTGACCACACTAATCTTAATCTGTTAATTTTGTTTTTTTCATCTTCCATTATTATTACCAAAGGGATTCTTTCGTCGGAGTATCCAGAAGCAGATTGAATATAAATGTCTTCGTGATGGTAAATGCTTAGTTATCCGGCTTAACCGTAATCGCTGTCAGTATTGTCGTTTCAAGAAATGTCTTGCTGTTGGCATGTCTAGAGACTGTAAGTAAAAAAACAAACTTCATCTTCATCCTCATCCTCTTTTCATATCTTATCCCCTTCTTATGTGTATAACTTTTTCTTCATTCAAACTTACCTTTTTTTTTTATTTTAATTCGTTTAAATGTGAATAGTATTACTTGACCATTGGAAAAAGATTAGTGTCCACTTGAATTCATCTCTTTTTTTTTACTTCTTTCTCTGTCATCATCACTTTTCTAGTTTACTTATCAGTTTGATGCTACCTATCACCATGTTGTTGCTGTTGTTGTTGATGATGATGAAGATGATGAAGATGATGATGATGATGATGATGATGATGTTGATGGGTATGGATAGAAAAGTTTGTCTATAGTTTAACATTAAAAATTAAGAATGTTAATCCTCATCTTTCATTGTTTACCTTTTCTCAGCTTCTGTTTTCCTTTCTTCCTCCATACATTTAGCATCTTCATCTTATCATCCTTTGTGATTTGACTTTGTCAGAGTAAGAAGATAAATCCATTATCACATTATCCATTGAATTCTGTTTACTTGCTTTTTAATATCTAACAACATGTAATATCTTGTTTCTAATCCATTCCCTTGTTAGTTGAACAATTTAATGAATAATACTTAAGATTATGATTAAGAAATGAGAGAGAGAGGTTTCAATTAGTAATCTCTGGTGTAAAGGATAAATACATTGAAAGAAAAGAGGGAGAAAAAAAATTAAGAACTGATTAACTATTAATTATCTTAAATTTATCAGGATTAAATGTTACAAATTGTTAATCGAGTAACTTTTCTGGTCAATTATTGTTATAACATATCATCAGATTAATTGATTGAAACTATGAAATTATGATTACTCATTTAAAGATTATAATTTAAATGTTATATTGTTATAAATCACTAATCAATATATTGATTGTGAACTTGATTATCTTAAATCAAATCTTACGGTTATTATAAATATTTATTAATAATTTTTGTTTTACGCTCTTGGCAAAATGTTAAAAGTTATTTGATTCATTCAGATGATAAAATAAATGCTAATAATAATGAAGATGATTAGTTGATGATAACCTTGACCTTGAATGGATTAAAAGTAAACATTGTTAAAAATGAGAGAGAGAGAAAGAGTTATCATCATCATCATCATCATCTCTATGTGTGTATATTTATTATTACTTTAGTTAAATAAATAATCTAGTTGGTTAGCGTGATATTAAATCATTAATTTGAATCAATTAGTTTATAAATTTAAGTGTAAAGAGTTGGATTAACTTTTGTGGTTAAACATTAATTCACAATCTAAATTGTTACTCAAGACTAAATTCAACTCATTCATTGCCAAAGTGTTTACAATCATTTAAATTGATTCAGTCAATAGTAAAAGTAAACAATTAACTCAATGTTTACTATATTATCATAATTTCATGAAACAATTAATCTCGAGATAGTTGTGGTTGCAGTTAACAACCTGCAGTGATATTAATATGAGAAAACAACAACAGAAAAAAACATAACGTGTCTACGTAATTTATACAAAGAAAGCAATTAAATCTAAATTGTTATTATCGTTAACGATTAATGATTAGCCATATCACTGACTGATTATTTGTTTATCATTTAATACACACACATATTAAACTATTAATAGTTATAAATATTAAATCTTAATCATAATGTAATGATGAACAGCTTGATCCTCTTCATCTTCATCTTCATCTTCATCTTCATCTTTATCCATTACTATGGATTATCCAATTTATCCTTAGTTTTGTATCAATTTTCAGTTGATAATAATCTCAACTTGTTAATCTTGTTCTATTTTTATCTTTCTTATTCCATGTCTAATCTTGAATGTCCACTAGCGGTCAGATACGGTAGAGTTCCCAAGCGGTCACGTGAAAAGGGAGACGATAACAGAGTGACCACTTCAGGAGCTGAACCAACAGAGACCATTTTCAATGAGATGCAATTAGCAACTTTTGAAATGATCGTTACCCTTTCGCAAGCTCATTATGCTCATTGTTCATATACCGAGGAAAAGACCAGAGGTATAATGCGTAAACCGGCAATATTTGTAAGTGTTATTATTCATTTGATGGAGATAATTTCGATAATCTTGACTTAATCCATTTACTTAATCTTATTTTAATCATACAGACTAGTATGGATGAATATGGTTCACCTCAATCGGATTGTAGTCCAACCTCGGTAACTGCTGATAGTTTGGAACAGCAAAAGATTAATATGTGGCAGCGATTCGCGGATTTCATTACACCTTCGATATCTCGAGTTGTCGAGTATGCAAAACGGATTCCAGGTTTCCTCGAATTGTCTCAAGATGATCAACTAATCCTGATTAAATCCGGTTTCTTTGAGATTTGGCTTGTCCATGTTTCCAAAATGTTTGATCCAATTGACAATACACTTACTTTCAGTGACGGCAATTTTATTACAAGACAACAAATGGAGCTAATGTTTGATGTAAGTTTTTTATTAACAATTTAATCATCTATTAATATTTCCCAACAATTTAGAGTAGAAAGAAAAATGTTACAATTTAATTTAATTTTCCTGTGTAAACTTTCATAATCTAATTGATCAAATTTCCATCTCTCTGTTGACAATTTTACGGAAAAAGAATCAAAAAGTTACAATTAATTTCGATCATTTTGATTTAATTGTTAACACAATTAACTGAATTTCCATAGATTTAATTGTAACAATCAACTAACAATTTGTTCAAACATATTAATTGACTTTTGAGCTTTGAGATTTTCAGGAACAATTAGATTTAAACCTGTTAATTGTTTCTTTTAGTGTTACGATCACATTGAATTGAATTGAATCAATTGTGAATTTTATCAACACATTTAATTTACTTACTTTAATTCAATTACTATTTAATTGTTACCAACACATTAATTTAATTGCAATTTGATTATTATTAACTTGTTTCAACCCTTTTCCTTTTACCAGAGACTAGACTTTGATTAAGTTACTGGAACAATTTGTTAACCCGTTCATTAGATTAACTTTTGATTACATCAATTACTGTTGATTGTTACACTATTATATTATTGAATCAAATTAATTTAGCTTAATTATCATCATTTCGTTCTGATGATGATTATCTTGACCATCATCATCTTACCTGTCAGGTAAACATTTGAATTTGATGATTATTACTATTAATTAAATCGCCAAAACTTTTAGATAATTAAAAGTTGTAATGTTTACAATCAAAATCAATCGATCATCATTAAATTATCAGTCTATCATAACGATTTTCCTTTACTATGATTAATAAATTGTTAGACATGAAAAGTTTGTTTTAAATCTAATTTTCAACATTATACTGATCACTAAATTAAACTATTGATTTGATTAATAACAAAACTTCAACTCTTTTTACATCCCTTGTATTGATAATAATCAAATTGATTGATTGATTGATTGTTACAATGATTAGTTTGTAGTTAGACTTTGATTATTTAACTCTACAATTAACTTTACAGGGAAAAGAAAATGTATAAATTGTAATTCTTAAAATTTATCCCTTTGGTTACATTGATCACTCCAATTGTGATAATTAATTTTAATCATCTCACTAATCCATAATTAATTGTTTCTTAATTACAGCATGAATTTGTCTCATCAATATTCAACTTCATGATCGGATTTAATCAACTTCATCTTCATGATATTGAGATCGGTATATTTGCTGCGATTGCGTTATGTTGTCCAGGTAATAATTATAATTAATTTTCGTTAATTAACTTTATCATCATCATCATCATCATCTTCATCTTTCATCCTTAATCTCAATACACACAAATTGTTCAATCAAATTATGATTTTTATAACTTCATCCAAGGTCGATATCATCATGATATCAATATCAATTTGATTACATAAAGCTATCAATTTCTATCCAATTAACAATTACAATTGATTTTAATACGAATTGACATTTTTGATTAGTCAACAAAATTGTACAATCAACATGATATTCATTATAAAAAATCATTTTTTCTTTCATTAATGCTAACTAAAGATTCATATGAATCAACAATTTAATAATAACCTAGGAGATAGTTAATTATAATTATAATTGTATTGATGATTCGGGTAAACGTAAAAGTTGAAATGAAATTGATTTTTCTAATCAATAGATGATCATGATGGTATTAGTTGAATTGAGTCGAAATTGAAACAATTGATCAACTAATTAATTGTTGGAAATTTGTCACACACACACAGATCGATATGGAGTTTATGACGCTAAAGCTATTCATCGAATCGAAGAGAAACTTTATGAAGCGATGAAAATTCAATCAGCTCGAACTCGAGGATTCGACTCACGTTACCATGAGAATGTTGTGGTCAAGGTTCCAGAACTTCGAGCCATTGGCATCAAGCACGCTGAACATTTATCTTGGTTCCGAGGAAACTGGACTCGACTAAAGTTGCCCCCACTTTTTGCCGAAATCTTTGATATCCCAAAATCAGAAGACGAGCTTCTGTTAGTGGCTCAATGATGATTTCCACATGATAATCTGAACGATTAATCAATAATAATTAAGTGATAATCTCTGAGATATATATACAAAATATACATGGATGATGATGAAATTGATTCTCTTGATTTGATTCTCAATTTTAATCACAATCAATTTAATCTTTATCATCTCTCTCTCTCTTTTCTCACATTTCGTTCTTGTATATAAATCACTTAGCAATTAATTATATATCTTGGCATTATTGTTAATTATTATTGACAATTTATGATTATTATCATTATTATATTAGGAAACAAATATGATTTAAATTGTGTAAATTATACAATTTAAATCAACTCTATCTCTCTCTCTCTCTCTATCTCTTTCTTAAACTAATCACTACCAAACATAAACGAGACCAATTAATTGACAAATTTTTACCAACAATTTACAAAATCAATCCAATCAACCAACACAAGAAAGCATTCATCACATTTATATATTATTACAATTAATAATGATAATAATCAATCAGATCCTTATATACACTCACACTGATAAATTATACAAAACAATTAACTAGATGACGATTTAAATTGTTGTGAGTCTTGGGTTTGTCAATGATTATAGTTAAAGATATAAATATATATATACAAGTGTAAACAAAATTAATTGATTGACAATTAACTGATGATGATTTGTCCACAGTTGAAAGTTTGTTTTTAATTGTTTCTCTGTGGATAATTAATTAAGATAAATTGTTTGCTGTAAGTGTGTTTGTATGTGTCTAATGAAAAAGGTTCAGTTAATTGTTTTCATTAATCAGTGTCTTGTAATTAATTCATCTTGACCATTGATCTAATTAATTGTTTAAGGAGAAGCAAAAAACAAAGTTAACAGTCAATTAATTTAATCAAAATGATTAGTTAATTGCTCTTAATTAAGTCATGGAAAAATATTGTTTTGTTTTGTTTTTGTTTTTCTTTGACTTTTCCCCTAATCAATTAATTTAGTTTAATTGTCATCCTGAAATCATCATCTCTTCCTGAAAGACTCATCATTATCATCATTATCATCTTCATCTTCATCATTTTTTAAATTTAAAATTGATTATATCCCATTAATTAAAAGCTACAATTAACTAATTGTTAGGCCAATCCACTTTGAACAGATTCACTTTTGGTTATCCCAAACTTTTGTAATTAGTTTTAATTTTTATGACAAAACAAATACAACAACAAAATTAAGATTGTCCAATTTAATCAATTGTTAATTGTAAACCACAAAAAAAAAATACAAACCAAAGTGATGTAAACAACAATTAGTTAATAGCTGAAAACAATTAACGATAATAATTTATAACAATGATAATAATCACAATTCCCAAATAACTTTAATCATTATAAATGTTGATAGATGAAAGTATAATTTTAATTTATTTTTTCCCTCCACAGTTTTTTTAATTATCATTAATTGTGAATACATAAGAAAACCATTTAATTATAATATAAATTAGCACAAAGTGATTATTATCATTGTATCATTATCATTATCAGTTAGTTAATCCTAATCCCCCAATTTTGATAAGATTGTTAAATTGTTAACTGGTTATGAAAAGAGTCCAGATTGAAGGAAAAAAAAAAAATTAACTGATCCAAACAATTTAATCAACAACAATCCTGATCAACAATTAAAACCCCCAATTTACAAAATACAAACAACTTACAAAACAAACTTGAGGCACAAACGAAAACCACAAAATCCACTTACAATTAACTGTCGAGATTAACTAAATTAACCATTTAATCATAATTAGACATCAAGTCAATCATCATCAACAAATCATCTTCTCCACCCCCTTCCTCATCTTCCCAATTTCATCTTCATCATTTCCTCTTCCTTTTCTAATACTATTATTATTGAAAAGAAGGAGAAAAAAAAATTCCTTCTCTTTAATTATTGCAAATTGAAAATCAATTTTTCTTAATCTTCTAATTATTTTATTTCTTTATCTTCTCTCTCCCTTAATCCCTTAATCCCTCTCTCTCTCTCACACTCCCTCTCCCTCTCTCTCTCACTCTCTTATTGTGTTTAATCATCTTTCATCTCTGTTGCTAAATTAAATTGTAAATCCTCCTCTTCTTAATCCCTTTTCTGTTTAATGAAAATAAAAAGCTTACAAGATAAGTTTCATTGATAAATAAATTTGTTTCAATTGTTCATAATGACAGGGCAATTAATCAACAATTAACTGATCATCTGTTGTGGAATCAACAATGAACACAATTGAATATTGATTTTCAATTGATTGTCTTGATCAGAAAGATAAACAAAAACTGTAATCGTGTTCCAATAACCATAAATGTTTCTCAATCTAAATCTAATCACAATTAACTTATTCTTGTTTCTAATTGATTGTAAGTATTTTCATTTAATGAAAAATTTTCATATCAAACTAATTGTTGTTGTTGTTGTTATTTAGCTTCTCAAGGAGTGACAACAATTAACCATGAGAGTGATCAGCTACTCTTATTGGAAACTTATGAAGATGATGAACAATTAATTGCTCCCAACGAAAGGACAATTAAGGATCGCAATTTAATGACTACTTATGAATTGTTATTCAGTGATGCTGATCAAGCAAGTGATTCATATTTATTGGCTAAAGATCATTTAAATAAATTGGAAGATCAATTTCAAACTTTTCTTTTATTCCTTAAACACAATGTGATTAACAAAGATTCTGATCGTAATTCGTTAATTATGGACATTTTAAGGAATCGAATCTACATTCGTTATACTCTTGAACATTTTAATCGTAAATTGTTCATATCAATCATGAATGCGATCGTTGTTGATTTACCTGAAACAATTAGGTCAAAATTTAAATCTCTCGATTGGTCAGATATTTGGGATCAATGGACTAAATATGATCGACGAAAATATGTATCTAAAGTTAATTATTCTGATTCTGATGGTAAGAAAACTTCAATCGATTCGTTTGACTCTCGAATTGTTAAAAAAAATCCCAAAGATCCATTGGGAATATTGTGAAAATCAATCAAAAATTAACTTTTGATCAACTTTTAATGAGAAAAATTTTCATACCTTTGAAAAATTTATTAAACTCAATAAACTCAATAATCACTCTTAACAGATGTCAATATATTAATTACCACCACCCAATCAGTTGTTTAATTAAAGTTCATTTTAATCGTTGACTTTTGTTTCTTAAGTTATAACAAATCACAAATTCGCTAGGTGGCAGCAGTCAAATTTAGAATCAAAATTTTTTATTTAATTCTATTTATGCTACGATTTGCTCATCTTTCGACAAGAGATAGCTCTGTTTGTAACTTGAGAAAGGTATGACTGTAATAAAGGTCAAGTTAATTGAGAAATACATCGGTTTTAATCATTTAACCACCAACAGTTGGAGGAAGTGATGGAGGTGGAGGGGTGGAGAAAATTCTTTCACCATCCTAAATTTTGTAAGGCAGCGTCGGTATAGGCACACAGACACGATCGGTAGCCTAACAACAAGGCCCAGTTAGGTTAGGTTAGGTTAGTCCTCTTTAGATCTTCTAATGTCCATTCATGAACCTACTTGGTGTTTGTAGATATATCATATTACTTTCCAGTAAACTCCAATCGATAGCGATGCGCTCATCGCGCCAGAAAACGAAATGAGCATCAACGCTTGACCTTGGTTGAGAATAGGACCCGTGCGATGTTTCATTGTATAGTAATGGTCAAGAAGATGCACACTGAAATATTTATGACCTTTAGCAAGAGGCTGAGAAATTGATTGATAAGAAACACAACGATTAAATGTACTTAAATTCATTGAGATCAATTAAAATTGACAAATTGAAAATATTTATCCGTTGCGATATAAACGTAGGCAGCAACTCTTAAATTATAAGGGCAAGTTACAAATTCGCTAATTGGCAGCAGTCAAATTTAGATTTAGTTTTTAATTTAATTCTACAGGGCTATTCAACTCCATTTTACGCAGATTATTAGTTATAAGTCAAGAACCAATGAGTTTAAAAAGACCAAACCTCGTACAGATTCATATCAGGACGAAAGGACTTCGTATAAAAGTTTCAAGGTCATTGAGGTCATTTCACGATAAACCTATCTAGAGGTCATTTGAAGGTTTTTTTACAGAAGAAAAACAAAAAATTACTCCATCTTTGAAGTTTTGGTCTCAATATCAGTTCAAATAACGGAGATTCGTCAATTTGAATGAAATAAGAGTGAGAATAGCTTATTCTCACTCAACTTTCTGTTAGAATAGCTAGTCAGCTGATTCACTTTTTCACTTTCAACTGATCAATTTGTTTGGATAATTAAGTTTTCGTGTTGATTTAATTGCTTAATTAGCTGTGTTAATTTAAGTTAATTAATTTGTTCCCTGGTGAATATTAGTTTGTACTTTTCCCCTGCTGAACTAATGAATGAATTTCTGAATGTGTTTCACTGCAATTAGTGACAATTAGTGATTGTCTTGGTTTTCTGGTAATTTTTGCCATCAATCAACTGAATTATTGATTAACTTCCTGATTAATTGTTGTCGTTTTCTTTTTGCTGATTCTTGATTATTTCTTGTAGTAGTTAAATGTTTCCTTCCTGTGTCATACTAGACTATCATTTTCATTTCAATCTTATCGTGATTAATCAACTAATCCATTGGTAATACTTGATTGATTGTAAGCAACTAAATCTTTTAATTTCAGTACTAATTGTTGATCAATCAACAAATTTAATCTCTCGAAACAATCTTATCTATGGTAAGTTAATGTTAACTTTAATTCTAAATCTTTTGTAACCACTTATTTGATTGAATAGTAATTAACTTCTTTTGGTGGGTTTACTTTTCTCCTTCAGATTAATCAAAATGGCGATCAAATTAATTCTTGGCAGAAAGAAGCGAATAATTGTAATTCTAATTATATTTGGATTAATTTATCTACTCATATCTCTTTTAACATCATCTTCTCATGGTGAACAATCAGTATTAATATGTAATTATGGACCAGAAGTTCAGGATAAGCTTCGTGATTTGTTGCTAAGGACAAAGGAGAGTCTAATCACTTTGGGATTAACTTATTTCCTTTGTTACAATTCACTATGGGGATCACTTAAAATGGAAACAGTGTTACCATGGGTTAATTATTTGGAGATTTGTTTAATTAACGATGAAATTTCTCACATGGATGAGGCCTACATTTTCCGTATATTTAAGAATAAGAATCTTAAAATGAGTTACATCTCATCTAATGGTGTTTACCTGATAACCGATTCACAAGTAGCCGAACCTGTAATTAAATTGATTCTGTTTGAAAAGGATACAGTGACCAGTCAATATCGTCGAGTGGGCTGGAGAAATCGTTTAGTTCCCCCTAATTCCTGTGAGGCGATTCACTGTTTCCCTCCCATGTTAATCGACAAACCACTTCCGATGTCCAGTTTACTTAATGTTCCCATTCCGGCTCCCAGAGAGAAAGAGGAGATTCAAAAGTATCTATTCCCTGATAATTGGTGGAAAGACATCGAACCCGAGAAATGTAAAAAGGAGAACCATTAATTTAATTTCGAAACAAATAAACAAAAAAGTAAACTTAATTGCCTTTGGAAAAAGATCTACAATTAACCCTCTGAATCTCGTCTCCATGTTGATCATATTTATCTCATTCTCAAATCACTTGGATATATCAATGAATCATCAACAAGAAATTGGCCACTAATCAAATAATCAAACATATCAATTGACCTTTTCCTCTTCTTACAATCTGTTGACGATTTTAAATCAAATGGAAATCTAATTGTTTGGAAATTGATCAAACAAATATATTGATTTTTTTTTAATAATATATGATAATTTTGTTCATATTATCATAATTTAGCAATAACAGTGGTGTTTGTTTATATGATAACAATTAAGACGCAAACAAAAAGTAAATGATTTCAAATATGATACAAAGATGTTATTTAAACGGTAACTCTGATTGTGGTTGGACTTTCATTGGAAACTGGATCAGCATAATTGGAAACATCGTAACCATTGGATGAGCCTAATGGAGTAACGACAGCAGGAGGTACCGAGGAAACAGCGGATGAAGGAAGCGGAAGTGTTAAACTTTTTTCTAAACCATAACCATCAACCTGAAGTCGATCATGATAAAGGGAAATGGTTGCGAAAGCTTCATTGGTCGGAGATGTTTCAATGACTCCATGATAGACGATGTAATGAATTCCCTTTTCGTCGACCGAATGTCCAAATTTGTGTGCATGTCCAGACATGTAACTAATTACACAATTGTACTTGTGAAAAGTTTCAATGACTCGATCATAATTCCAGACCAAACAGGACCAATCACACGAACCAGGGTGAAGACAAACATGTCCAAAAACGATGACCTTTTCTCCTTTCAACTCGGAATCTTGAAGTTCCCTTGATAGCCAAGTTAATTGCTGTTCACTGAGAGCTCCGTTCATCTGTTGAAACCTTTTCTCTGGACCTTCCGGTAGATGATCATCAATGTCCCAAAGGTCAAAATCCCGATGACCATGATATTTATAAAGTATCTCCTCGGCTTGACGGTAATTAGGATGATTAGGATCGTAGCCTATTACCGAGATTTCAAAACAATCAAGTGCAATTATCTTCAATTTAGGTGATGGAGTAAATTTATAATAGAGAGTATAATTAGCTGATGATGACGATGATGAAGATGACGATGAACAATTAACTGGATTTTCATTGACGTTTAAATTTAAACCCATCAGATCTGGTTTAACTTTTGTCTTCTTAATTAGTGAATCACGAAATAGACTAATTATCTCGGCTCTATCAAAGTTATACAATTCATGATTACCTGATGACAATTGAAACAATAATTGGAGAGAAAAAAAAAATTTCAACAATTAGAACAACAAATTAGAAACAAAGTGATTAACAATCAATTTTTGATTAAAGTTAAGAGGGAAAATGTAATCAATTAATCAATTTTGAACATTATTATGTAATTGTTATGATAATTAAAGGAAACAAGACTCATCTGATTTAATTGAATTGAATTAAAAGAGATCGGGTAAAGTAATTGATTAGTTATTATTGTTCAATGATATATAATACAATCAACATCATCAGCGATCACTTAAATTGTGGGATATGTTTGTTTAATTAAATTGTAATACAATTAGAAAAATGATAACTAATCATTAATAGTAATCAAGAATCAGGTGTGGGTATTGATTGTTAATTGTTGAGATTGTTAATCAACAATTTAGTGGGTGTGTGTGTGTACCTATGGTGGGCTTGTGTTTGTTTATTTAGATTGTGATTGTTTGTTTAATTGTTCACAAAGCAATTAACTTAATCCAATATCAATAACTTTTTAGTTGAGTGTCAATATCTTGAAAATGATAAGACAATAATCAATTTAATTGCTAACAATTTAGCACGATTTAGTTGAAGAGCTTGTTTCAAATTCATGTTTTAATTAAACTAAACGGAAGCAATTGTGATAACAATTGTAATTACTACAATCTAATCAAAATTAAGTCCAGAATAAACCAGTTGATTAATTGATTTTTTCTTCTATAATATTTTAATTGTTGTGATATTGAGACGAAGAAAAAAAAATCAATTCTTGTTTCCATGTAAACAAAAGCTTCGTTATCAATGGAGGATTAAATATTAATATAATTGAGGAATAGATTAGAAGGATTAATTATAGTGATTAGCATCAACTGACTAATTAGCTAATGTTGAACATGATTTAATTGATTATCTGTTGGTGAATCTAATTGTTTATACTTACCAACAGCATGAAAGGTTGGGATTGTTGGATGAGCTTCAAAAGTGGCCAGTGTTTTATTAATTGCTTCAAGAGGATCTAAACCATTGGTACGTTTATTAAGTCCATCAATTATATCACCAAATTGTAGTACAAAGGTTGGCTTAATTGTTTCCCTGTCCCAGTGATTAAAAGCATGAACAACATGATTTAACGAAGCTCGATAATATCTCGTCTTAGTTGGATCATAATGAGCTGGTTTATCATCGGTATCAGCATATTGAACATCAGTTAGAACACCAAATTTAGCAATTAATTGATTACCAGGAGAAGATGAATCATGATTAATTGTAGTGGAATCAATTTCAGACATGGTGGAAGTGGTTAATTGTCTTGATGAGGGAATGTTATTGTCAAAAAATGGATCACAATCAAAACGATCAACCAAACCTTTGGTTTTATATTCACAACAGCAATTGATTGTTGTTGGGTTTACTTTAAGGTTGACACCCTTGACCCAATTTAAAGGGTTAAATTGACCACAAGAAGATAAATTTGAACACTGACCACCGGTGGGAATGAATTGTAATTTAACTTTATGGTGATTAAGGTGATTAATATAATCCTCACTCCACCGGAGTAATGAGCTTTTCACCAGAATCAAAGGTAAACATGAAATCCTATGAACATGATGTGAGTTGATTAGTTGATTAATCACAACTGGACCAGTAGATGTCAACATACAACAATTTAAATTAATCTAGATGATGAGGGAGAGAGAGTGAGAGAGATTAAAAGAAGAAGATTAAAATTGTGGGATGAACCATTTCTTTTTCTTCATCATCATTACGATTTACATGGTAAATAATGAGAGAATCGCTGAGAAAATGATCAATATCAATTCTCATCTCACTTTAACCTTCTATCAAGTGAAGATGCGCAATCAGATTAACAATTAACTCTCATAAGTATTTGATTGTGTAACTTTTATGGAATCATGATGATCATGATCATGATTAACGTCACACAATCTAAAATTAATTTAGTTACTTTGTGTTTTAATAGTTACGATTTCGAGGTACGAATTTTTTTTTTACCCGTTCAACTTGAGCCAAACTTATTAAAAGAAGTAAATTGTTGTAATAATTAAACATTTTCTTTGATGATTGTCACTTGATTTAGATTATCGTTATTACTTATTATCCGCCGTCAATGATGTTGCCAGAATTTAGAGTGAGAAAATTAAGTTAATTGTTCAAACGAACTCAACTAAATTGTCAATTCAATGATACAATGTAATGAAAAAAAACAAGAAAATCGTTCATCAGACTATTTAACCAGCTTTTTTTGCCCAATCATCAACTCTAACAATTAGCTTGGATAATTAAATCACCAATTCTTTGTTACAGTTAGTCAACAATTAACTAAATTGTCTCTAATGATTGAGTGTTACAATTACGATAAACTATTGAATGGTAATCAACCCAATCGAGTTGATTATCAGAAGCTTTTACAATAGAAATGTCCTAATTTCTTGGCAATTAGTTAATTCGATTGTTTGTACAATTAACTTTCCACAATTAGAATATAATTTAATTACCTTTTCTCAACAATTAATTTATTTTCTTCAAAAAATCCGCTTCTCCATTTAAACTTATCTCTTTTACTATGTAACCATGGATTTAGTTTTGTCTTTCATTTAAATGGTTATCTAATTGTGACTCTTGTTGTTGTTTATCATCATTGATTGTGATTACAATTTGTCACAATTTAATTGACAATTTTTGTCTCTGTATTTCATTCAATTGTTTTCTTATCTGTGACTGTGATTAGTTAAACGATGGCAATTGTTGGCGATTCAACAACTGAAAATGAGAAGTTAATTTTTGAGAAAATAAGTCAAGGTAAATTGGAAGAGGTTAAATTGTTGTTAAATCAATCTGATGTTCGGATTAATTGTGTCGATGAGAATGGGATGAGTTTCCTTTGTCAGGCTGCGTTCAAAGGGAACGTGGAAATTTGTAAATTGTTGATACAAAATGGAGCTGATGTTAATTGTACTCGACATGTTCATGGTTATACTGCTCTCATGTTTGCAGCCATTGGTGGTCATTTAAAGGTGGTCGGTATTTTATTGGAAGCTGGTGCCGATATTAATCATGTCAATTCAGTCGGAAGAACGGCCACTCAAATGGCCGCATTTGTGGGTCAACACGAGGCCGTTACCATGATAAATAGTTATGTTCCCAGGGAGGAGATTCAATATTATTCAGAGAAACATGGATTAGATGAGAAAGCGAAATTGGAAAATCATTTGGTTGATCCTTTGTGGTCACTTTTACGACAGACCAATATTCATCCGGTTCGATTGGTGTTGGAAATCGAGAGACATCCGACTCTTATTGATTATGTTGGTCAAGTTTCTAAGGTGCTGGAAATGATGACCGAAAGAGAGATGAGGAAAAAAGATGCCAACGAAATGTTAGCACTTAAATTTAGTTTTCTCGCTTTTCTATTGGACTATTTTGGTAAACAATTGGAAATTCTAAAGGAAAAAAGTGATCCCAATGCCGATCGTAAAGAGCTTATTGCGAAATGTGGTGAATTGTTGACCAAAAATTGGCTGAAAGGTCGAGACTCTGATGGATTTCCCGTTAATCTTGAAAATTTTCTTCGAGAAGCGATCAAGCGATTCCCTTATCATAATTCAATGGTCTTCATTCAAATGGTTAAATCTTTGTCTTCGGTAGCGGTTGGTGATGAACCTTCAGCTCTTTCCATCCTCGCTCGGTCAATAAGTGGACAGAAAGGTTTCCTCGACGAAGAGACAATCAACTGTGCCACTTGTAGTGAACCCAAACCTAATAAGAAATGCTCCCAATGTAAAGTGACCCAATATTGTGACCAAAGATGCCAAAGGTTACACTGGTTTACCCATAAAAAGTTTTGTCCCAAAATAGCAAATGAAGCGAAAGCCAAACAAGAACAAGAAACCAAACCGAAAACTGACCAACTTAAATCACCTCAAGAAACTGACCCCAAACTGACCACCGATCTCAAAGAATTAAACATTTCCTAATTGCTAAATTTGAATACAACTTTTTAATTGTCCCATTTAAAAGCACAATTCTACCTACGGTAATTTAATATCTTCAAAAATTGTAAACGAAAACAAATTTGTACAAAATAATCAATCAACTTTTCTCAATCAATTCGAATTGTTTATTTACTTTTCTAATCGCTAATCAACAATTAACTTTCTCTGTTTTATTAATTTGTATTCAAATCTCTTTGTTTTTAATTAGTTTTTTTTTGGACTCGAGTTTGACAATTGTTTTTTTTTCGACTTTTTAAATTGTTTATTGTCTCTCGTTTTGATTTTTTTTTGTCTTTTAATTGTGTTGATTTGTTTACGTTAATTGTGATTGTATTTAGAGAGTGTGAAGGTGCTTTTGTTTTAGTTTTTGTATACAAGCAAAGGGATATTAACTCACGAATACTTTTAGGATTATATATTCAGAGTGAGAGATATCATGGTAATTACAAAAAAAAAAGATTAAGATGAAACTTTCATTTGAACTAAATCAAAATGAAATGGAAAACTCTTATAATCATCAACAATCATTACAAACAACAATATGTATATGATTACACTTGATTAATTTTCTTATTGGCTTTTGTAAATTCGGTGAATCTTTGAATGATGTTAATCATTAATTTCCAGGTTTCTTTCCATGTTAGATGATTCAGGAAAAAAGAAAAGGAAAATCAGCAAAAGCGAGTAATTTAAAGAATGAGAGAGAGAGAGAGAATGAGTGAGAAATAGATAGAGATTGGGATTAGGATTATGCTAAACATTTCTCATTTGAAACAATATTAATTGAGAAATTAAATCCTAATGGTTCTGTATAAATATGGTGTTGAGCAGTTGTCTCTCCAGTGATTGAAAATACTCAAAATCCGTTGGATTATTGCACCATAAATAGTTGGGTTACTTGTTAAACTTTCCTCGGTGTAGAGATTGTTTCAATGGGCTGCACATTGAACTCCACCGCCGCCACCGCCGCTTTCTTCATGATCATCCTCATAAGCCATACGACTGGAATGACCATTTGATTCTGATGGGACGTATTCATGAAGACCAACCTCTTCAACGTCTTCAGCTTTAAGGTCAAACTTTTCTTGCTTCTCTCGTGGTAAAATTTTCTCAATATCAAGATATTTCTCTTCATTGGGAGCAAAATAAGAGTCAGGAAAGTTTATCTGGAATTTAATTATCAAATCTCCTTTTGAAAATGGATCTTTATACACTGGCATACCACCTCCTTTAATCGCCTTAATTGTATTGGGAACAATAACTTCTCCTGGGCTACTGCGAACTATTAATTGACGTCCATCCAAGTGTTTAATTGGAATGGCAAACCACAAAGAGCTTGTGTTAATGACAATTCCATTGGAATAACCAAATCTATTCCATTAACGGTGAATACATCATGAGGTTTAGCATTCAATTGAATGATAACATCTCCTGCCTCAATTCCCGGCTTCTCGTTTCCTTCACCACGGAAAACTATTTTCTGACCATTTTTCATTCCTCTGTCAATGTTTACCTCTACCACTTTTGATTCTGGTAAAATACGATTACCACCACAAGTTTTACACCGATGATTTTCACTACAAACTCGTCCCTCTCCTTTGCAATCTAAACATGGACGTTGAAATTGTTGCATCATACCAGGTCCAAGTTCAAGGTATGACATTTTTGCGCCATAACCATTACAGGACGCACAAGCGTGTAAGGTTCCAGGTTTAGCACCAGCTCTATTTAAAGGGAGAGAATATCAGAGAGAAGAAAAAACAAACAAACAAACATTTAATCATTGAACCTAAACAATTAAACTCTTATTTAGAGAAATTTAAAGTTATCTACTGGTCTTGTAGTTTTATATAAACAATGAATAACCAACAATAGCTTGATGATTATATATTTATACTTAACAGACTGTAAAACATGAAATGATAAATTCTGTGCATTGATTGTAATTATAATAGTAAAATAGTATGTTTAGTTACCCATGGCAAGTGCGACAAACAATTTCTTTGTTGAATGATAATTTCGTGACTTTACCATTGTATAAATCTTCCAACGTGACACTGTAAGTTGCGAAGAGAAGGAGAGAGAGAAAAATAGAGAATAGAGAAGAAGAAGAGAAAAGAATTAAATTATTACAAATGTGAACTGTAATTTCTAATAATTAGATATATAAAAGAATATGAATAATATAGGTAACAATTAACATACTCTAAGGTGTGGACAAAATCTTGACCCTTTGCTCGTCTTCGATGCATACCACCCAAGTTAAATAAATTGTCTCCCAAAATTTGAGAGATAAAATCATCGGCTATTTCGGGTCCTTCAGGTACACCTTCTTGTAGGCCTTTCATTCCGAATCTATCATAGACATTTTTCTTGGTTGGATTGCTTAGAACATCATAAGCATAGGAAATATCTTTGAACTGTAACATGAAAAACAAAACAGAAGAAAAACAAAATTAAAAGGTTAATAGAGAGAAGAAAATAATTAGTTGGTAGTAAACTAAGACAATTAAATCACTTTACCTTATCCTCTGATTTGTGATTCTTATCCGGATGAAACTCTTTAGCCAGTTTACGATAAGCCTGATGGAGATAAAAGAAAAGAATAATAATATTAGAGAAATTGACCATTAATTGATTGTGTTGGGAGAAAATTAATCATCATGATTAACTTACCTTTTTAATATCATGTTCAGAGGCAGTTCTAGGAACTCCTAATAGATCATAGAGCTTTGAGTCAGGCATAGCGATGATGTTTTAAAATGGTTTCTAAAAGTTGTAAACCTGAAATAATCAAGAAAATAGAATAATTAATAAACAAAGAGAATGAAATTAAAATGCCAGAGTGGGAAGAGAATAGAAAAGATGAGAGAAAGAGTGAGTAAAAGCAAAAGATAAGCGTCCATATGATAAATCGATTAATAAAAACAGATCACTAATCACTAACCCTAAAGGGTAAGAGAAATAGAGAGGTTAAAATAATCAACAATTAGCGAGTTGATAAGCTTGTGAATGAGAAATTGATACAATAAAAGCTATTAAGTCTCTCTTAAGTTGATTTAGCATCAAGATTTGGTTAATTGTCTGATGGTTTGTGTTGATAAATTAATATCTCTCTTTTTTTGAGTGTTGGTTTTTTTTCATAGTGAATCAGTTTATTCACTAGAGCCTCAGGTTTAAATTATTTCCACCACTTTTATCCTAATTCTGTGATATTATTAATCCATTGAAATGATCCTCATTTATCACAATAAATCGGGCGTCCGATGGCTAGTTAATCTTGGACTTTGGTTAGGTCAATTAATCTTTGGAGAGGATTAAACTAGCTTAATGGCCGAGAAGATTAATAAACCTTCGAGTGAAGATCAGGTCACACACATGGTCCGATTCCAATAGTAACATAAACCGTTTTAGTTGTTGTGGACGAAGAACTTGATGAATCCATTTGATGGAGTAAATTTGTTTGGGTGATAATGAAAATCCAAATTACAATTTGATTAAATAAACAAGTGAAGATGATGTTAATCAATAACACGTTTAGATGAACCAAAATCCGGCTGGTGAATGTAATTCAAGTGCAAATCAAACTGATTGTTATCAAGCTAAAATCAATTAAAATGTCCGGTGAACTAATCTCTTTGAATAGAAGACAAAATTACAGACAAATAAGTGTACAAATTGAGTATAGACAATAGAAGAAAACAAAGAAAACCCTTAATGATATTGGATATTTAAAGGAATCCAAACAATTGGCTCTTGATAGTCAATGGAAACTTAAGATTCTAATAGAAATTGCAACAAGAGAATAGAAAAATATTCTAAACTGTCCCGTGTGCAGGTTCAAAGGTCAGTAAAATGGACGAAGAATCAATGTAAACATAGAGAGAGTGAAACCACACACACAAAAAGAATAGAGAGAAGAGAACAGAAGAGAAAGAGAAAGAAAAAAGAGAGACAGAAAATGAAAGGGTTTGCAAGAATAATAGAGAAAATAGAAAAAGTGTTTTTGGAATTAGAATACAATTTGACTTACCTTATAAATAGAAATTAATTTTGTCAGTGAAAAGCATAAATGGTGGAAAAAGATGATTAAATTAAAAAAGAAAGAAAAGTTAATCAAAAAGGTGAAATTAAATTAACACCAATTAAAGATCCAAACAGAATGAAAATAGAAACAGAAATGAAAGAAAATCTCATTTTCACTTTTTCTCATTTTCTTACAACAATCGATTACACATTCAATTAATCGATTTCCCTTTAAATTCGAGACTTGTCATTGTACTTATGAAATTTGATTTCTTTTTGGCCTCAGGCCCGAAGGGAACAATAAGTGTTCACCATTATCATTTCTAGATATTTCCAATTACTAATGAATGGCATTCTCTTTCAAGATTATGATAAGTCTTAATCTCGATTATACAAAATGATGAACTAAACTGCGAGTAATTGGTCGTTTCGAGGCCGAAAACCAGCACTTCGAGCCAATCGAGTTGGAACTTAGCTTATTAAGTCTGATTTGTACAAAAAGATGAAATTTCGAAGAAAAATTTGCTTCAATTTCGGACAATATTGATTATCAAACGAAAGAAAATATGTAGTCTTGACCGATGGTTCGGAAAACTATTAATAATTTTCAGGAAAACCTCTTGATCGAAATGACTCTCGAATTGACATAAATTTTTGCTGGATAAGAACTCGATTTTACACGAACTTTGCCTGAGGCAAGATCGCAAGGTCATCATGTCGTTGAAAGAACATGTAAATCAATACTAGAGACATTTGGTTCTCGTTTTCGATTTTCCGATTTCGTTATGAAACAAATAAAATTCAATCAATTTCGTTAAAATTTAATTGATTTCGATTTAAATTGATTATCATTTGATGTTTTTCACTCTCTCACATTTAAATAAGTGTAGAAATTGATTGTTTCGGTTAATTTATAGATTATTGTTTCCTTTGTTTCAATCATCGATAAAATCGCATACCAACATTTATTGCGTACAAAATACATCATGACAAAAGATCTTGATTTAGTAATTATAATTGTTAATCTATTTTCTTTTAACCATGAAAATCATCTAATTCTGTGATGGTGTTTTAATCCATTGAACCAGAAAATTTTGATATAATAATTGTTTAGATTAATTTGTTTACGTTGATTTGTAATGTATAATAAATTGCATCTCTCTTGTTTAAGTTTGTTGGTAACATTTCAAAGCGCTTTTCCTAATTGATCAATATCAATTGGTTGGTTTAAATTAATTGTGGTCAAAGGAGATGAACTTGATGGATTAGTTGATTGTTGTTGAATGCTAGTCACTGGTGGCGGTGGTACCGTTGATGGATAAAGTGGGATATTTGAGTAATTGTTATAAACATTGGAGCTGGTTGATTGACTTAGTTGGGTTGAAGTCGGTGGTTGATTGTAACTAGAAACAAATCCTGAACCATAATAAGGTTCATTTGATTCAGTTGGTGTGGGAAAATTAATATTTGATGTTTTCATAGGTAAAGGGAAAAGTGTTGGTTGGGTAGTTAATTTAGTTGAAATTGACGAAGGAGATGTAATTTTCGTTTGATCGGCTTGGCTGTAAGGTGGTGAATTTAAATTTCCCAATAAAGATGCTGTTGAAGGCATTGGAGGTGCAGAGTGAAGAGATGAGTAAGTCATCGTTGGATTAGCAATTGGATTCGCCAAAGATGTTGAAATCAATTGTGATTTAGATTCAGTGGACGCTGTTGAAGAGGCTAATGATAGGTTCATAAAGTCGCTCATCAATGGATTATTGGATTGTTGGGGTTGTTGAGGTCCATCAAAATTTAGATTTAAATTGGCAAGTTTCAGATCTGATGGTAAAGGAGCACTTACTGTCAATGGTGGCATACCTGGAGAAAGATAGAGAAAATTATAAATAAAGTTGTTAATTATCTGTGGTTGGAAAAGATTAGTTCAAGAGGAAATACTTACCAGGAATTGAGATAGGAGTTGTTATCGTACCAGGTGAAGTGTAAGATGAAACACTAGAGCCTGTGGTTATTATCTGAGGTCCGCCAGAACTGTAAGCAAGTGAACTATAAGAGCCACTGACCGTTGGAGCGGGTGGGAAGGCTGTAACACTATTAATGCCTCTGGTGACAATTACTGAACTTGCTGGTGTTCCTGGTGGTGGTACTTGTGATTCGGGTTGTGGTTGTGTTTGGGGTTGAGGTTGAGGTTGAGGTTGAACAGCAACTTCCTGAGTTGAAGCAAATTGAGGAGGAATAGGACCTTGAAAATTGGATGGTTGAACTTGAGGTTGATTTGATTGTGTAGATAAATCAAATTGTGGTTGAATTGGTTGTGAATGTTGAGCTTCACTTCCATGCATCAATGGTACTTCATCAGAATATTCTGAATCACAATTAGACTGGTAAGGTATTCGATGTAAATAACCATAACCAATTCCACAACCAAGCATACCCTCACCTCCCCATCGACTATTTGGTGTAATGATAACATCTCTTACATTATCGGTCAATAAATTGTAAACAAATAGTTTTAAAGGTTTACCATCATGCGCTTCAATTAATGCATATAAATCTTCCGAATCTTGTAAGGTTGAATCAGCTCCAATAATATAATCACAATTAGATTGTAGACCAGCCTGTTCTGCTGGTGAATTAGGTTCAACTTGTAAAACATGCCAAACATTTTGATTAGCATTTTCGAAAGAGCAAAATTTAATAGAAACACCAATTAAACCAGTTCCATTCCATTCATTAGTTGGCCTAATATCAACTTGCCTAATACGACCAGTTTTACTATTATAAACAGCCATTTTAATCGTCTGATTAACACTGGCTTTTAGAATTTCCTTCAATGTTTCATTATTTTGATTCTAAAAAGAGAAGAAGAAAACAAAAAAGTAAAATCATCAGAAAAGATCAAAGATAAAACAACAACATAGGGTAGAAAAAATAGAATTTTTTGTTTCAAATTCACCATAACAAAAACGGCAACAGATTAAATTAAATTGATTGGAAGAATATGGTTATACCTCTGACAATCTAATTAAATTAGTTGCAGTTAATTAAAACCGATTACCTTACCAGACGAGTATTTCCAATGGAGACAATAAAATCAAAATAAGCTTCCAAACCAGCAACAGCTCCAGGAGAACCTTCTTGCACTTTGAGAACATGATATCCCTCCTTACCTCCACCAGGAACTTCAAATGAACTCGACGATAAACCCATGGTTGACCAGTTAATCGAAAAGATAAATCAACTAATTGAACAGATAATCACAATTGCGAAAAACAAAACGATCAATAATCAAACCGAATCACAATCAAAGCAACTTGTCAACATTTCCAATTCTCAACACGTCACCGACATCGAATCGTTCGTTTCTCAACCGATAGATGGCATTTGTTTAATTCTAATTCTAAAACAACAATTAACTTTAATTAGAAAAACAATCAACTGGATTAAATGATCGCGAATCGATTGTGTTTAATTGTAATTTAATGAAAAAGGATTTGCACTAGGATATGAATGGAATTTTTATAACGCCCGAGAAATTGAACACAATTAACTCCCAACCAAAGGAATTAATTAATTACAACAATTAGAAGATTAATTCTAAAATTAAACATTTAATTATCTGTAATCAATTAGTAATCTAATTAAAGAACAGGTTAAATCCGATAAAACGAGATGAGAACGAAAAAGAAAACCAAAGAATCAATTAAGTTTTTTTTAATTAATTTGATTATTAATCAATATTTACAAAGAAAATTGTTTCTCTCAAAATCTTAATTATTTTTTCTGGTGATTATTTTATTTTCTTTACTATTAAACTTTACTTTGAATGTTTTTTTTTCTTGTTTTTCTTTCATTCTCTGTTGATGTTGCTGCTGATTTGATAATTATTACGTTATGTAATATCATTGGTGTGTGTGTGTGTCTTTGTGTTGTTAATTAGTCTTAATTAAGCTGCTAATGGCGATGGTATTGTTGTTGTTGTTGTTGTTATTGTTGTTGTCGTGGTGGTGGTAAAGGTTGAGGTGGGCAAAAGAAGGAGAAAGTTGTATTCATTTTAAGACCTGAGACCGAAAAAACTTGAAGCATAAGCCATCGGCTTAACATCGGGATGAGGCACTTCCGAGTAGGTAATATAATCGGGTATCATATATTTACCATTCATGTTAATAAAAGCTCCCTGATTACCGATGGCATCACAATAATTAGGAGCTGAAAAGACTGTGATCATCTTACCATGATGAGCTACTTCATAGCCTTGGTGTTTAACTTCATGACTTCGAATTATGTAATCAAGATTATTAAATTTACAAAAATTGTGAGTCACATCAGGACCAAATTGTATTCCAACACCTCGTTTAGACGGTGCTCGGCCATGTTTATTCATTGGATCGGACCATAAAAGTTCACACATGATTCCTTCATCGGGTGGTTGTCGGAAACGATCAACTTTCCTTATATCATCTAGGGTAACGGTATCGGAACTGAAAAGGCCACCATGCATTACCAGTACTCGTTTATTAAGGCAATGGGCAAGGGGTAACAGGTTAAACGTTTCCGTGAATAGGTCATACATTGTGGACGAATATTTACTTTTAACTTCACCCTCGAAACCGTACATTTGGTTCATTGTTTGGCTTTCATGGTTTCCCCTGGACATGAAGAAATGGTCTGGATAAAGAGCTTTAAAGGCGAATAGGGTAAGAATACATTCAACTGAAAATGAGCCACGATCAACAAAATCACCATTAAACAGGTAGGGATTAGTTTCTGATGGAAGTTCGTTAAGTCGAAAAATATTGAGTAAATCAAAATATTGTCCATGAATATCACCACACACGGTAAACTTTGAATACTCGGTTTGGGGAATTGTTACATCTACTAATGAGTTACACTTTCTAAACAAATCGGCTACTTGTAAAATAATCATATAGGCATATTTTTTATCCAACTTTTTACCTTGTTTAAAGGTTTCGATTAATGCTTGGACAAATTCAAGTGTAACTTGACCATTAACCAAATGTGGACCATCATAATTGGATTCACATTCCATACTATCTGGATCAATTGTGGATGCAATTGATTTCTCGCAATCAACTGAAATTGCTTTTTCAAAGGCTTGTTTACGAATTAATCTTTTACATTCATTGAGTCTCAATCGTGCTTCCTTATTTGATGGATTGATACGAAGAATATGTTCAAAATCTTTTAACGATTCCCTGTATTTACCTAAAGCCATGTGAGCCGCTGCACGACGATAATAACCTTTAACATAATTGGGATCACATTCAATGGCTTTTGTTGCATCGGAAAGAGCGTAACCAAAATTTTCTAAACGTAAATGAGCAATACTACGATTAGAGTAAAGTGTTGCTGAAGTATCATCATAACTAATGGCTTGCGAGTAAAGTAGAATTGCCTGGAGATAATCTTGATCTTTAAAATGTTGATTCGCTGTTTCCTTAAGTGTACAAGCCATTGCTATTCTCCCATCATTCCCGTTGTCTTGAGAGGCTAATGTTTCACTCGGTGGTGTTTCCGCCGGTGAAGAGCAAGCAAATGTTGCCGATGACATGGATGCCAGAATTTGAGTGAAGAAACCAAAACCAATAAATGAAACAACTAGATGATAGAATAAAAATAGAACAACAAAAACATTTATATTAGATAGACAATCATCAGATAAACTCACATGTACTATAGAGACTAGAGATAAAACTAATTGAAGACTTAATGTTAAAATCTAAACAAATGATAAGAAAACAATTGACTATTGATAGTCAATGGAAACCTAAGATTCTAATGGAAATTACAACAGGAGAATAGAAAAACATTCCAAAATGTCCCATGTGTAAATTCAAAGGTCAGTAAAATGGACGGAGAATCAATGTAAACATAGAGAGAGAGTGAAACCACACACACAAGAAAAAAAATAAAAGAGAAAAAACAGAAAAGAAAGAGATAGAAAGAGAAAGAAAAAAGAGAGACAGAAAATGAAAGGGTTTGCAAGAATAATAGAGAAAATAGAAAAAGTGTTTTTGGAATTAGAATACAATTTGACTTACCTTATAAATAGAAATTAATTTTGTCAGAGAAAAGCATAAATGGTGGAAAAAGATGATTAAATTAAAAAAGAAAGAAAAGTTAATCAAAAAGGTGAAATTAAATTAACACCAATTAAAGATCCAAACAGAATGAAAATAGAAACAGAAATGAAAGAAAATCTCATTTTCACTTTTCTTCAATTTCTTACAACAATCGATTAATCGATTCGCTTTTTTAAATGGAAAATAAATTAACTTGATTTAGTAATTTTCTTTTCTTATACTTTTCATATATATTAAATTAATTGTTCTCACTAATTTTTCATCTTTTATTTCAATATGTGATTTATATAAATGAAAATATTTTCAATCCATAGTTACATAAGTCAATTCATACAAATAAAATGGATTAACCCAAAAGGTTTTCGATAAAAACTTTGAAACAAAATGATAAGTTTGTTTCTTATGTAAATGTAAAAAGAGTTATAATCAACAATTAATGATGGATTTCTCATTAGCAACAGGAGATTAATAGATTTCTCATGATAAATATACGACTTTTCAATATAAACTCCCAATGAAACATCGAAGAATCCAGTCCACCAACTATAAAATTGAGAGGTGAGAGAAAAAAGTATTGATCAGTTAAATTCAGAATCAAATCAGAAAATCAGACAATTTTAGAGAGAAAATCAATGAAATTACCTGAAGATACATGGGATGGTTGAATCAATAACTGAATTGAAATCACTCAATTGTTAGAATCTTTTGTGGATTGAGGTAGATGAAGCAGTTTTCGTTTGGATCAATGAAAGAGCGAATAATTTTGATCTGAAAATCGAAACATTGGTTGGGCCAAATTGATTCCATATTGGTAATTGATTACATCTTTTCGTACGTTAAAACGTGACCACAAGTCTTGCAACTCTTTTCGAAAGTGTCATCCGACTTATTGTACTTTTCTTCCCCGTACTCATGGACATGAGTCGATGATTTTTTCTTATATAAACTACTTCTCACTGCCATTCTAAGAGTTTTCATCTTTTTATCATAGTCTTTCTTTTGTCTTTCTTTTCTTTTAACGGTACGTTTCTCCTTCTCTGCAATTAAGATTTCCTCAGTTCCCCACACTTCGAGTGCTCTTTCCTCGACCTGAATGTGTAAATAGAGTTTCATATCAGATCGAGCCAAAGGATTGGGATTCTTTTTAGCAATAAATCGTAATGGAGGTTCCCGTTGATCGAGATCACAATCTTTAAGAAGATATTCATTTTTCGCCTCAGTCCTGGTTATCAAACTGTGTTTATCCTTTGGATCTCTGGAAAGGAAAACATATCATATTGCTTTAGTTAATAGTCTAATTTTACTTGCAATTTAAATTAATCACTAACCTGCATATATTACAAACATTATAATCAAAATTGGTTTTCAAAAATGATTCAAAGAAACGTTTTTTACATTCATCACAAGTGAATACACTTGGTTTACTTGGAGTTTGGGTTGATGATGATGAACCTTCACCCGTTGTTGGTGTTGCTTGTGGTGTCAAGGGCGTTGTTGAGGTTGACATAATTACCAGAATTCCAATTATCAAAATTATAAAAAAAACCTAAAAAGAAAAATGGAAAATAGAATAGAATAAAATTACATTTGTTGATTTTGCCTCAGAGAATATGAGAAATCAAAGAACAAGAGAGAAGAAAATTTTGAAAATAACTGCAATTTAATTGGAGCCGTTAATCAGCAATTAACCATTTTTATGATTTAGCTTTTTAAGTGGTAATTAACTAATGAGATATTACGTATTATCATAAATTGTCCAATAAAAAGATAATTCAGTTGAAGAGAAATCAATGTAAACATAAAATGGAAATTTGAAGTGAAAGAGTGAATAGAATCTGTATTAGAAGAATAGAATTTGACTTACCTTATAAATAGAAATTAATTTTGTCAGTGAAAAGCATAAATGGTGGAAAAGATAATTAAATTAAAAAAGAAAGAAAAGTTAATCAAAAAGGTGAAATTAAATTAACACCAATTAAAGATCCAAACAGAATGAAAATAGAAACAGAAATGAAAGAAAATCTCATTTTCACTTTTCTTCAATTTCTTACAACAATCGATTAATCGATTCACTTTTTAAAGGGAACAAAAAATTGTCTTGATTTAGTAATTTTCTTAGCATTTTTAATTACTGGTTAGGTAAGAAATTAAATGTTTATTTGAATATATGAGAATACATACATAGTCAATTTGTAAAAATTAAGAGTTAAATTGATTAACTAGTAATGGAAACAAAGTAATAATATAAATTAGATTTTGATTCCATTAGAATATTAAAAATTAAAGTTAATATTAAATCAATCATCAAATTATTTAAGCAATGATTATTAACTTGTATGGTTAAGTTGCCAATTATTGTGCGTGAATTTCGTGCTTTGTGAGGGATGAAAAAGTAGATAAATTCAGAGTTACCAAAGTTAATTGTGAGTTAATTGTACTTAAAGACGAATTCCTGGAACCGCTGGTAAAGGTCGTTTTGGATTCTCCTTGTTATCAGATGAATATGGAACTTGATAATTTGATAGTGAGGAAGTAGAATTTGCAAGTAGATGATGAATATTGGCAGAATTGTGTTCATTTAACCCAATGTAATGAGGAATCATTTTTGATTGCTGATTTTGTGAGTGCAAATCAATTCGAGTTGATTGATTGTTTGTCATGTAATTGAGTTGAGAATTGTGAATAATTTGTGATCCATGTTCAGTTGGCAATAAGGGAACTGCACTTGCGATATTTGTAAGGCCAGATCGTTGTCGTCGTGTATATGATCTTGATTGGTCGTTGTAATTGTCATTGGTTGTTAGATAAGCAACATAATCATAATTAGTGTTAACTGATTCAGATGGTAATAATGTCGCAGGTGAACCAAGGTGAGCAGCGATTCTCATGGCATCGGCAACTTCTGAATAGATATGAGCTGTGTAAGGTGAGGAGGGATCTCTGATAAGTAGTGTGCCCGGTATTTGAGAGCAATTAAGATTTACTCTGGCAGAATCGAGTTCATCGTAAACAGGACTTGAGGTACAACTGCTTCCATAAGGTAGATTGGTGTATTCAACGATATCGGTTCTTCTTGGATCAACCATTTCATGGTGAAGACCAGTTGATTCATCTCTACATCTCCAGTATTTATTAGGAATTGATGTTTTAGTTGAACAACTGGTGATGATACTTTGAGGAGATTTCTCATTAACAACGGGGGATAGACAGTTTTCTGGTGATGAAGATGTGACATCTTTCTGATTTTTCATTATACTCTCAGTGAAAATTGAACAAGAATCCAGTCCAAAAACTATGATTGATTAAAAAAAAAGAATATAATAAAAGAAATAAATTAAATCAAGTGAGTAAAATGATAACAAAACAATTTAGAATAAACTTATAATACAATTGTAATTACCTGTTGATGGTAGAAACTTCCATCTAAAGTTAAAGATAAAGAGAATAAATAGTAAAGTAATTAGATAATTATCAACTCTAGAAATGATTTGGTGTTCGAAACTTTGACTTACCTTCTCCATTTGATTAGAATGAAGAGTAAAATGATACAAAGGATAGTTGAACCAAGAACCGAGCCGAATAATAATGAAAACCATGAATTATTAGCACCATTTTCGGGTTGAGACAAATGAATGGGCTCAGAATCTTTCAGGTTACCAAATGTATTACAAAAGTTACAACCTTCGGTTTCAATATTACCAGGTAGAGAATCATTTTCTGCTAAGAATTGAAACAGAAAAGGTGGTAAAGGCGGCGGTGGTGGTAACCAATCAGGCGGAGGTCCAATTTCATCAATATAGTTACAAAATATATCAGGACATTGTAATGAGCTACCGTTGTAAGAAGGGCCGATTGAAAGTGACATTTCTCAAGCAAATTGTACTTGGATTAGATGTAGAATGTCTGTAACTAAGAACAAAAAAAAAGAATTAACAAAATCCTGTCCCATTGAAAATAAGAATAAACGGAAAAGAGAACAAAAAATCCAAAGAGAAATTGGAAGTTCCAAAGAGAAAAAGAAAAAGAAAAGTAACGATAAATTGACATACCTTAGAATTAGAGAAAATCACTGATCAATTCATCCTTTTCTAATGTAAGAAAATACCAGCACAATGGCTTAGAAAATCGAATCTAAGAGCAAATTAAAAAAAAACACAATTAAATTATTAATAAATGAATAAAATTAGTTGAGAAACTAAAACATAAACAAAGAAAATTTTGTCAATGCAGAGAACAAGAATTAAGAAAATCAAACTCAAGTAAAAGCTCAACTTTAAGATGTTCAATTTAAACGATAACAATCAAAGAGATACAAAAGTTACTCTATTTAAGAGAATTAAAATTATAAACAATTAAATTAACTCACAAAAAGTAAATTAATCAATGATAATAAACAGAAACGTTGACTAACCTTTTTGATTGAAGAAAAATTTACTTCTCAATGTAACTAAAAGTCGACCAAGAGATGGCAGCACAATCGATTCTCTTGTCTTGTTGATGTTTTTTTCAGATTAACAAGACATCCAATTAATTGACAATTAACTTTAATTAAAGATTCAATTTGTACTCCGAAAATGTAAATTCTGTAAGAAATTAATATCTGTGAATTGTGTGTTCTCCAGTGAACTTAATTGATTCTCTTTGTTTTTTTCTTCTTTTGAAAGGATTGAAACATATTCCATTTTGAAATTGTTTCTCCTCAACCTTAAGAGATGAACTGGACTAATCAGATTAATTCTTATTCTTTAACAATTAATTTTGTGTGATCATTTTAAATTTCTATCTATATTTCAGTTCTATTGTATGACGATTATTCTGCAATCTGTGAAATTCAATAAGAGAGAAAAAAGAGTTTGTTAAATTGCTTCCAATTGAAGGTTGATCAGTTTATTTGGCTGAACCTTTTTTGTTTTGTTTCCTAACCAATTTTCAAATTTGATTTACACTTTGACCTCTCATTGTGTATCATGGCTTCAATTTCTGTCCCAGAATTTAAGGTTATCCTTTGTGGAGAATATGGTGTTGGTAAAACTTCATTGTTCCGTCGATTTACTTTGGACACTTTTATCGATACCTCTGGTTACAGTAATTCCCAAGCTCGTCAATCAACCCTTGGTCTTGATCATGCAAGTCGAAAGTATGAATTAGATGGATTTAAGACAATTAAGATTCAACTTTGGGACACTGGTGGATTAGAAAGAGTTGCATCCATGACCAATTCTTACTATAAATTTGCTGGTTCGTTTATTTCTCTTTTATCCTCATCATCAATCTTATCATTGTGACAATGAAAATACTAATAATTTATTTTACTTTTTTCTATTCTCCATTTATTATTTAGATGCTGCTCTTCTTGTTTTCAGTCTTAATTCATTGGAATCTTTCCATTTTATCAGTCAACATTTACTCGAGATACTTTCTCTTGCTGAAAATGCGAAAATATTTTTAGTTGGTAATAAGAGTGATAAAAGTCTTCATGAAGTATCAGATTCAGATATTGAAATGTTTATGGAACAATTTCCAAAATTTGAAGGTTTATATAAAGTCTCATGTAAAAACAATACCGGAGTAAAGGAGATGTTCAATGAAATTGCTGAAAAATTAGCGAACACAAGTTACAAGAGTAATTTGGATGCCCTTAAATTACATAATCAAGAATCATCTTATGTTAATGAATCCAGTTCATCAAATATAAGTGACTTTTGCTGTGCCAAATAATTTAACATCCATGAGGTGAAGGCAAAAACAAAAACAAAGCTCATCAAAGATGAAAATCCAAGTGTAAATATTGAGAGAGACGATTAAATTGACCAATACTTAATGGTACTAATCAATCAACTGGATTTTCATTTGAACATTTAACGAATCACTAATGAAACTCAGCAAATCTATTTAACTGTTTACGAAAATTGCTCATTCTCAAAAGCCTAATGATCAAAGGTCTAGAATAACATGAAAGAGAAATCAAAATCAAAATCACAATCGATTAATCAATCAATACGAAATTGTCTTAATTTCCAATTTATTAACTCAAATTAAACCCAATGTAAAGAAATAAATAGTTTATTTCTACCCAAAGAAATGGGAAAATTTGATTATATGTTATTTACATTAATTATTAAACATTTTTCCTAAAAAAATGATTCCAATCAAGTTGATTCAGTTGATTTGATTTCTATTGAATCAGATTTATCTAATGGTGGCCATTCACTGGTTATCTCAAGGTGATAAGCTTCAGGTATCCATTGGAGATATTCAATTAATAGATCTGCCAACAAAGACAATAACAATTAATTGGATTAGTTAATGAGCCAAGGAGATAGATAATCAATTAACGATGATTAAACTTACATTTAGGATCTTCTTTCCATTTTTTTATTAATCCTTGTCTAGTTAAGATTTTATCACTTCGAAGATTGATCAGAATTCCCTGAGTTCGTTTCTGTAATTTATACCATGATTTCTGCATGATCGATGGTGGCGATAGTAAAAGTGACCTTTTACTAGCGAAATATTTGATTACATCGCCTTCCAGAAGAAACCGAACAAACCAATGATATTTATCATATTCTTCGTCCGTTTCGGGATAATCAATTTCGGCATCCGGAATCGGCCAATTAAGAGGACCAAATGTACAAGTTACTGTACATTTAAGGCGATCAGTGATCGCATCGTAACGAGGCATTGGTTCAATTAATGGCTTTGAAAATTTACACATGGCTGGTGCATAGATCGGTAACCATTCAGGTTCAATAGCGACAACATCTGATTAAGTGAATTGATCAATTAGTTAAACAATTAATTCAAATGCAAATGAATTTGTACTTACGTCTCATGAAAAGTTTCTGAGTTTCATAAATCTCCTGATAAATAATCCATTCTGGTGATAAATCATAAACTACTGAATCAGTTGAAATGAAAACGGGTAAATCAAGCTCAGTACTCTAATTGTCGAGAATTAAATTAGAAAGAAAATGAATTAACCAAACAATTAGTATTCAAATCAATTGTCAAATGATAATAGAAAACAATTTACCTGGTAAGCTTTTTTCAATTTTCGTTTATCTTCATCTTTTTTCTCGTCTTCAGGCATTAACCTAATTGGTTAATAGAAAAGTTTTAGTTCAGAATTTTGATTCGATACGATTGAAATTAGTTAATTACCTGGCAACATGATCAAATAGACCAGAAAGTAAAACTTGGCGTAAACATTTAGCTTGAGCATCACTTGGAGGAGTCATTTTCATGTCCATTGGAAATTCAAGTTGAGGAAAAATAGTAACAACTGAAACAAAAAGATCAACAAATTAACTAATACAATTTAGACAAATAGTAAATCTAATTTATACTTACTTTCTTTCTGTAATTGTTGTCGTAATTTACGAATTTCATTCATTGCTTTGAATCGAAGACCATATTTACTACAAAACTCTGGAGCACAATCGACATGTTCCCAAGCTCCAATTGCACAGAGAAAAATCATCATATCTCCTAATAGTAAACTATTACCCTGAAAAGCACAATTGTGATGAGAGAAAAAGATAATCAATTAATCAAAACAAATTAACTAAATTGAAAGAACCAATTAAACTCACTGAGCCAGCCCATCTTTTCCTAATTGTTGCTAATTTATCTTTGTACAAACGTTTACCATCATCTTCGGAGCCCATGATTGTTGAAGATACGAATAATTCTTGGACAGTTAGAGCGGAAACAATTGACACTCCATAGGAAATTAAATTATGTTGTGATGTAAGAATTAACATTTTAGCATAACGAGGACTCAACGGGAAATATGATAAAACTTTTCCCAAAGGTGTGATCCGGTTAATATCTTTGAGTGACAAAAAAAAGAGGATAATTAGATTGTGACGATTAAGATGAATGAGAGAATAAAAGATTTAAATTGCTAATTACATTTAAATTGTTTTCTACTTCGGGTTCGTTTCACATTGAATTTTGTGCTAATTATTTTGCTCGTTTTAAGGGCTCCAAGTAAAACTAAACGTTTCTCCGCTGCGGTCACATTTTCGGCCTTTGGTGGTGTCGGGAACGGGAAATTTTTCACATTGTCTATATTCATCGACTAAAAAAAATAATGAGACATGAATTATTAATACAATTAAAACGCAATCAATTGTTAAATTTGAAATATTTACCTTCATTTGTAGGACAAGATCATCGATCGGTTTTCTTACAATTTCTGGATCACTGAAGTCTTTAAAATTATCTTGAAATATTGCTGATGAATATAATCTGATTATAATGAGACGAAAATATTTAATTAGTGTTAATTGTCAAATCTGATGAAAAGATTTAAATTCACCTGTAACAATGACCAGGACCCATTCTACCAGATCGACCAGCTCTTTGGTCAGCTGAGGCTTTTGATGTCCAGTCGATGAGAAAAGTTGATACTCCGGTAACTTGATCATAAAATTTCATCTTCACTTTTCCAGTATCGACAACATACTTTATATTTGGAATGGTCAGCGATGTTTCAGCGATATTAGTGGACACAACGCAAAGTCGTACACCTTCTGGAGGATTTTCGAAAATTTTCCGTTGCCTCTTCTCATTGAGATGAGAAAAAAGTGGTAAAACGTAGAGAGGGTCACTACAAGAGACGACAAGGTCATCATTAAGTTCACCTCCATCATTAGGAACAATATCATCATCATTATCTGATACATCATCGGCAAGGTCAATATCTTGACCATAAGCGTCCAAATCGATTGCTGGTGAAATGTCGGCCAATGTTTTCGGTTTACCTCGTCGTAGTTTTTTGGCCTCTTTTCGGGATAATTTTTTCACCTCAAGTTCATCTTTCTTTTCCTTTTGTTGGGCGATTGAATTTTCGTTAAAAGGAAAAGTTCGTCGCAATTTTTGACACAGTGTAATTACTTCTTGCTGACCAGTTAGAAAGACCAATATTCCTCCATTTTTGGGCATATTCCGATGGATTTTACAAACTTTATTATAAGCTTCGGAAAGATAATCATCAGGAGTGATCTTATTGAAATGTGTAGTAACAGGATATTGTCGAGATTTGATCTGGAACAAAGTTCAAAGTTTATGATTAACTATAATGAAGATAAATTCATTAAACTAATTAACTTACCTCGATGACCGGAGGTTTTGATTTGAATAGATTAGGATTTTTAATAAAATCATCAACTCTCAAAGTAGCGGACATAATGATCAACTTAAGTGGATCTTGTTTCTGATTTAAACGGAAAAGTAACAATTATTAATCAATAGAAGTTAACATTTGATTATGCAAATCTTACCCTAGATCTTAATTTAATTATCCTGGACAGTAGACCAATTAAAATATCTGAATAAACGGTTCGCTCATGAGCTTCGTCAATAATGATAACAGAGTAAGAAGATAAAAGTAAATCCTGTAAAATGAATGACACAATTTAAAGTTAAATTGTTAGTTATCTTGTTGATTGTATGGTTTTGATTTTTTTTTTCGATACCTTTTGAATCTCTTTTAACAATATACCATCGGTCATGAATTTGATTGCTGTTTTATCGGAACAATTTCCCTCGAAACGGATTTGGTAAGAAACAATTTCATTGGATAGATTCATTTCGTGACCGACACGATGGGACATTGCAATGGCCGCTACTCGACGTGGTTCGGTTATTCCGATTCTCTTGTTAATTGCATAACCTGCTTCGTACAAAAATTGTGGTATTTGTGTCGTTTTACCTGATCCAGTTTCACCACATAATATGGTAACATCATTGTATCTAATTTTCTCCATGATAAATTGTTCTTCGCTAATTATTGGCAATTTTGATCGAGATGCTTCAATGGCTGGATCACGATTTACAGGAACAAATTTAGTTGTCATATCGACGTAATTAGTTTCCTTTTTAGATTTACTCGATTCCTTGGTTTCAACCTTATCGTTTTCATCTGATTTTTTGGTTAAATCTTCACTGGATTGATTATCTGTTTCATTTTTTGTTTCAGTTTCGTCACTTTGTTTATTATCATAATTTTCTCCTTGATTATTGGCTGAATTTTCCGATTCTTCTTGTGGATGTTCATTGGTTGGATTTTCTTTTTCTTTGGCAGAATTTTCAGTCTCAATCACTCCTGGTGTTTGGACTTTATCTTCTTCACTGCCTATCAAAGGCTTCTCATCTTCTCCAGCTTCTTCTTCCTCTTCCTCCGATTCAGTTTCATCGTCAGATTTTTCGAATCCAAGAACATTACCACCTAATTTAGTTTTCTTCGGATCCAAACTATTGATTGATTTTCGTTTCCTCTTGCTAACCGTTCGGATCTTTCCTGGTTCACTAGTCACTGCCTGTAGATCATAAACTTCTTCAATACCCCTATAAATACAATCAAGAGAAAGAAAGAAATTAATTGATAAATATAAACAATATAGAGAGTTAATCAAACCTTTTCAATCCTTTAGTATGTAAATTACTAGTCGAGGCCAAGGCACTGTAAGTTTGAGCATCCAATTGATGTTTTTGTAATTCTTCTAGAATTTTAGATCTCTAAACAGAAAAATTAAGCAAACAATTGATTAGAATCAGAGAAAAAAAAATGGAAATAGAGAGAGAAAGAATAATTAAAATCATAATTACATCTTGAATTTTTTGTTTCCTTTCCAAAACTTTCCTTAATTTTTTCTGCTTTTTCAGAGATAAAACCTTTTTCGGTTTCTTTTTACTTGGAACTTCCGATTCTTTCACCTTACCATCATTTACAGCCTTGTTACTGGGAAGAACCAAAGGATTAGCATCATCATATTTCCTATTATCAACATCAAATTCAATTTTAACCACATTCTTTTTATCCTCATCAGTTGAAGTAACATTTTTGGTAGACAATTTTGTCGTTTGATTGGATCCTTTTCGAGCCTTAAAATTTTTCCTTCTTGCCACCGAACGACCCATAATTTAAACGCAAACAAACACCATAGAAAATAAATTATCAAACGAAAGAATTAATTAATTAACTAATAATTAAACGAGAACAAGTTAAACATGTTAACAAGAGAGTTTAAAAAAAAACGAAAACAAAAAAACATGTGGATAGAAATTCGAGTCAAGTGCCATCTGGTGAGAGAAACGACAACTCTTTTAGAAGAAAATTTTGAAATTCGAAAATGCGAAAATCAAAACAAACAATCAGCTGTAGTTTCTTTTGTAAGAGGAAAATGTCAGTTACTTTAAAGAACGTTATTAATTAATTGTGATTTATTTTTCCATCTTTTAATGGTAACAATTTGTTTCTATTGTGCTTAAGTTCCACTTTTAACTTAGTGTAAAATGTAACAATTAGAAGAAACTGAGAAACTTAATAAAGAAACGGAAATAAAAGGTAAGTTTAAAAAGAAAGAGAAAAGATTATCAGCTTTCTTTTCATTTCTTTTCTTCTTTGTCTGTACCTTTTGTGTTTCTCGTTCTCTCTCTCTCTCTTACTATTTTTCTCTTTCTACGCAATCTTTGTCTTCTTCTTCATTTTATCATCATCATTTTCTTCATCTTCTTAGCAAAAAAGAAACAATTTAGAAAACAATTAATCATCTAATTCTGTTTTTAGTGTTACTGTTAATTTCTAATTGATTTGCATAATGATGATGATGTAAATCTATTGATAAAATCTCACCGTGTGTCTATTTCTCTTTCTATTTCCATCATGATAATTCCGTGTTCCATCAATTACAACCATTGTCTTGGTTAAATTACACTGATTTCAATCGGAATTATCATCATCAGCCTCGCGATTAACCAAAATCATCACTCACATCATTTTTTTTTCTCTAGATTTAACAACAACATCACAAGATTTGGCTTCTCTCTCTCTCTCTCAATATCTTCCAACAATCATCATGCTAATATACAGTAAGTTAAATTGTTAGACAACCAAATCATTCATTTCCATCATCTTAATAATTTTCTTTCTGTAATCTAAGTGTTCATAATCATTGCATATTAAGTTAAATTGTAAAAAGAAACAAAAATTAACTGATTAATCTTTCTGTTTTGTTTTTCCATCTCTTTTTCATTATTTCCTCATCGTCACCATCATTCTTGGCCTGTCAACAATTATCCAACTATACAATCTTGAAACTGGTAATTCAATCATTTCAAACCAACACCAACAATCAAATTAACTAAATTGCTGTCTAACAACATTGGCTTATCATCTTTAATCATCTTTCTCTCGCCATTAAAACTCCTTTTTTTTATTCATCATTTACAAACCAGAATTAACCAGGTTTTCACTTTCCATCAAACAAATTAGAAATCAGGTAACATTAATTATCTATTTACCTGTCTATCTAAATACAAACTAACTGTTCAACTACCTTAACAATTAATTCGTATGACCCAATTTCATTTGTTATATTATCTTGTTTATTTTTTTCTCGATCTCTGGTAATTGATGTTGATTAATTTTTATTTCCTCTTTTCTTTTTTTTTCTAATTACAGTTTCATATACTTAACTAAATAGTACAACTTGATTAATCTTCTCATCATTTTTTTCCCAATGTGAACTTACCTTTGTCTGGATTTAATCATCAACATAACCATTATTCCAGTTAAATTTATCTTAACAATTAATACCAATTTTCCAATCAAACGGAAAATCAAAAAATCAACAATCAAATTGATCAAAACTTATCAACAACCCGTTTAACCAACATTGATTATCATTACCTGCCTATCCTTTAACTATCTACCTTAATTTGGTGTATTTCAAGTGACAATTATGTAATATTATCACTCTGATTCAGAGCATTATTATTCAACATCTCCACCAACAATTAACGTCATATTTTATTCACTATTTAATTTTTTTGTGTACTCTAAGTGTTAACTGTCATATTTAAGTGCTAAATTTCATCAGATCAATTGTCATCATTCAAGAAATTCAAGTATATCAATTAATTGTTGGACTTGTGTTATTATTCAACGTTATTCTTATTGTTATCTGTTTACTTATGATCCAAGCAATTAAGCGACATCTAAAAAGGTCAGTATAAAACAATTAATTTACCTAAATTACTAATCATTGATTAGTTAATTACACTTTTCTCACATCATTGTTATGTTTTTTTGTTTTAAATCATTTGCAATTCAATATTTTTACCATACATACACGATAATCATTAATTAATCTAGTTCAAATTGTCGATTCAATATTGAAAATACAATTTAATTGTATTAATAATTGTGTATCATTATTAAGATAGAAACACAATTAACAAAGTCTGTGGATAATCATGAAAAAAAACCAACGCAACATTTAACCTGACATATGAATTTTCATCATAAATTTTCATTAATTAACCGATAATTAGTTTAATCCAATCTGTTTACTATTTAATTTACAATTAACTCCAAATTCAATTTACTGATCATTCATATGAGTATTAGTTTACAAGCAACAAAATTAGGTATTACATATAAGATTAACGATTACAATTTCATTAATCACTGATTATCTTGAAATTAATTACCAATGACAATTTACAACAATGTCCATGTACCGACAAAATCAACAATTAAGTTAATTGTTGCTTTTTTCACACAAAATATTAATAACTTTCACTTTCCTTATCCAATTGCTTCACCCACGAACCCAATAAACCTGATTAACTGACAATCACTGTTTTTAACAACATACACAGGTACAGGTTGACAACAATTTATTTTAATCACAATCTAATCAATATATCAATCAAGCATATTGTTGTACTTGAAACCATTTTCTTAATCATTTACTTTCATCAGTCTAATCATAATCATCATTGATTATAAACCTTTCAAGGTAAAAAGTCATGTTTAAATTTCATGGTGAAACCTTAACTTATTTTTCAACAGTTTAAAACTATTAATCTAATCCAATAACATCAACTAATCATAATCTAATCATGATGATAATTGTTATTACTATTATAATCAATAGTAAGTGTAGTAGTTAATGTTATTCATATTAGTTTAAAAAAAGAAATACATTTCTCCTTGATTGTAACTTTTTCAACTTTTCGTTATAATCATCATTATAATTATTACAATTTGTTATTTTTTTAACAATCAACTAATCATCATCATCATCATCATGAACAAGTAGTAATTTTAATTAACTTTCAGGTCAAAAATTAGCGTTTCTTTCAATTGATTGGCTAGTTAGTTGAAAGTAAAACCTTGTAAACTAAAAAAGTTAATCACAAAAATGATTTTGCATTTTTAACAATCTAGTTAATTCAATTACCACCAAATAATTAACAGTAACAATCAACTTAGTTAACTAGTGATAATCTAATACCTTATGTTTTCTACAATCTCATCTTACTCCATCTTCTTAATCCTAATCCTAATCCTAATCGACTTTTTTATTATTATCAATCTTCATCTTATTCACAAATTCATACATTGTATTGACAATTTAAGAATCAAATTAGCTCATAAGTATTACATTCACTTGACAGTGGAAAATTTGATTACATTATTTTAATCACTAGGATGATGATAATCTACTCACAATTGATCATGAAATGTTAATTTAACCATGAAAATTGAGGTAGAAAAATTTGTTTACCTGAGTATGGATACAGAATTAATCTTCATATTTTTTTTCTATGTAATTCTATTTACTTTGTATTCATGTTTATCTTTCCATCTCAATCTCATGATTATCAAGATTAATTTCATGGTAATTTAGATGAACATTAAATTGCTATGATTGTAATCAAAAAAAGTGATTTTTTTCCTTATTTTTTCCTCAAACAATTAACATTATTAATCTTAATTGTTGTCATGCTGGTGATCGTTTTTTTCGTTATGATAACTTTTGATTTCTTTCATTAATTGATTTTTAATTGTTATAAATTTCCTTTGACTATTAATGATGATTTCCATTTCGTAAATTAAGTTCATCGATAATAATCAAATTTGATTGTAATTTGATTAGTTAATCGTAATGATTTTTCTGGCTAAACTGTTGTTAAATTGTTCATTGATTGTCTTTCATCTGAATTTGGTTATTCTAAATATTGATTAATCTTAAACGTTAACAATTGTATTTACTGATTGTCTGATTTTATTCAATCCATTGTGTGTCCCTTTTTTGGTTTAATTGTTGTCTGATTTAGTTAATTACTTTTTCTGATTTCTTTATTGTTATTATTGAGCAAGTTAATTGCTACTCTATTACAATTTGTCATTCAATCAATTGTGTGGACAGTTAATTTTTGTACCAACTATTGATGAAAAAGATCCAATTCTTAATCTAGTTCAATGTTGAGTTAATTATGGTTGATTATTTTTTTTTAAATTTTAAATTTCATCAATTAAATGTCTCATTTTGATTGTTTTTGATTAACATGATCAACTGTCAGCAATTAACCAACCACCAGTTTATTATTGTTTATCCCTTTTACCTAATCATCAACCCAAATAAACATACAATTGGTTGACAAATTGTAACAATTTATCCTTGACAATTATTAAATCATAATAGTTACGTTTAAAAATTACAATTACAAACAATGAGAGAGAAAGTTTAATTTATTATCATTATAAATTGATTCCGGATTACAATTAAACTCTGTTACAATGACCTTAATCTAACTGAATCAAGTAAATCAACTATTACAAGCCAAAGCTAAATTGTTTGTTAATTTTCCTGCCAACACAATTAATCCAATTGGTAAATATTAAAGTTTACATTTGATTGTCAACCATTAAAACATTTCTTTATACAAAACCATCAAAATTGTGGTTAATTGTTGACAATCTAATTTTAATCTCCATCTTTAAATTTGATTTACATCTTTGATTATTATCTAGTTAACTATGACATCCAAGAAAAAATTAACAACGTAATCAAGTTACTTAAATCATAGCAATTTAAAGTTCCCATCACATTTAATTAATAACAATTTACCCTTGAGGATTTAAATATAACTTTAACACTTTGAGTACTTATCTTAGATTGAGAGTTTTTTTTTATAAAAATTAAATTTGATTTCATCATATGTGATTTAATTA